AGCTGGTCATCACATATACTTGGTGGTGTGGAACTTGTTCAAAATGATAATTCCAATCCTTTGCCAATAGCGGTGTTATCAGTTGGAATTGAGGACTTATATAAAGAGGGGGTTATCAGTTTGAACTAAGGTACTTATCAGCCTGTGTTGCAACAATTAACAAGCTGCAGATGAACCTGTCAAGACCACAAAATCTGTGCAATTGTTGCAGGGTAGCCTGAGCTGCAGTTTCAGCCTGTGTGTATCTTACTTTCTAAACCTGTGTCATAGGGACAACCTGTGTAATTTACAGCCAAATGACCTACGTCTTCCATGAAATGGTACAACCTGTGCATTTTTAAAATGAATAGTGCATAACCTGTGTTGAATTTCTGCTTTTCTAGAATACCTGTGTATCCTTGATTTTTTGTACAAAATACCTGCCATACGTATGGTTCTTGATCCTGTACCAACTATTGCCTTCCTGATCCATGATAGGGCGAGTTTGAGCACCGCCGCGTTAAACAGTTCTACAGGCGCACAAATAAGAATGGCACGTTTGGCCGCCAGATCGCCCTCGAAGTCCGTCGCGCCAACATTATCAACAAGATCGGTCAGTCGCAACATGAAGCCGTCAAGCCATGTCGCCAAAAACGGAAGCCGAAGAAGGCTCGAGCCTCCCGCGGACGACGACTCCACCTCCGATTTGATGATTCACAGCCGCTCCCTCCGACTCAGCCCGACCAGCACTACCATATCTCGAACGACAAGCGGTATCCCATCAAGCTCGACGACTTCCATTTCGAGAACGAAGGAGATCCAGCCTGTGAGGTCAGTCACGACAATGAATATCCATGCTGTTACTCACTCTACGTCGATCGTTACTGACTGAAACACGCAGAACTTCACATGGGATCTCAAGGCCCATTTATTCCGTTGCTTATCAGGTAGCGAGGCGCTGCCACCGGAGTACGTGCCCACGGACGATGACCTCTTCACCGTACGGATCGAGAACAACAAGTTGTATCGACACAAGGTACTCCGCGTCAACTATACGACCTACAACATGCGGCGTGATCAAGACTCAATCAACCCACGGACTCATCCCGACATTATGATGCTCGCCCCGGAAGGGGCTGCTCATCCATACCTCTATGCACGGGTTATCGGTATCTTCCACGTCGAGGCCTACCTAACTGGCGACAGTCCGGACGGTGCTGACGACACCGACCCAGAGGTTGTCCACGTCCTCTGGGTGAGGTGGTTCGATCTCGACCCGCGCACCCCTGGAGGCTTCAAGGCGCGCCGTCTTCCGCGCCTCAAGTGGGCGGCACTTGACGACGATGCGTTCGGATTTATATCCCCGGACCAAGTCCTTCGCGCTGCAAACTTGATGCCCGCTTTCGCGCATGGACAGTCAGATTCGGCGCTACCTGGCTACAGCGTTGCGCGCCGTGAAGACGAAGAAGATTTGGATTGGATCTATCACTACGTTGGCATGTTAGTACTACTCACATTGTTCCGATTGTCACAGGATTGACGTTTGTTATGTAGCTTTGCAGATCGCGACATATTTATGAGATACTTCGGTGGCGCGGTTGGACACCAGCGTCACGGTGGCCGATCTGGCAAGCCGCGACCTGCGCCTGTGGCGCCAGAACCTATCATACAATTGTCTGGCCATGGCTATGATGATGAAGCCGACGAGGAAGGTGAGGATGAACTAACTAACACTGACCTGAACTCGTACGACAGCCAGGAGCAGCCGTTGGAGTTCGATGAAGAGGAGGGCGAGCCGGACGAGCATATAGATGGCGGCGAGGATTACGACGAGGACGACGACAATGAGCAAACGGAGAGTGAAGACAGCGAAGATGATGCCGCTCTGGGCCCAGAAGACGGCGAGAGCTGTCACGGACGTTGGACAGACGCCCCTTTTTGCCGCCCATTCCCCTCCCTTTGACGCCCACCTTCCATTCGCGGACCACTTCCTTTTCTAGCCCACCCCAATTTGGACACTGTAGATACGTTCCCACAGCCGCATGCTACGTTCCCGTGATCGCCATGCCCTTGCCTTTTCTTTCTCGCCCTTTGTTCTCTCTTTGTCATCTTCACTGCCTCGCTCTCGCGCCTTGTCCTTGGTTGCTAAGCAGCCCCTCTAGTATATAAGGACCCCCCTTAGGCGCTCCCTAGTCCCCATCTCGACCTCTTGGTCATTGGGACTAGGTGA